GATTAGTACATTACAAAGATATACTAATGAACTATTTTTCTTTCCTTTCTGGCTTGGAAACGTGACGGTGTGGAATAGATAAACGGATAATTTTCGCATTTACTTGCTGTAGGGATAGGGACGGCAATGTGTGGTCAACATTCATGCCCTCGGGTTGATTCATATGGAACAGGATAATTACTCGATAAATTGGCAAACTAAACTGGAAAACCGAGGGAGACATCCAATCGTGTGTCATTATCCGGTGACCACATGTACTTTGTGATGACATGTGTGGGAATCTGCCTAGCTCAGTCAATATCCCAAGCATCTGAAGCAGTTGTTTGCACCGTGTGCGAACTCTTAGCTGATTTCTTTATTGATTTTGATTATCCACCGTACAATGTAACACGTCACCAGTGGCAAATGTGTAGGGATGAGATACATTTCATTGCCTCCAAAATATCTTCAGTTCGGACATCGCAAGTGGTAGAAACGCTTCAGTTATACTTTAATTCATCTTCAGCTCCTGAGGATTGATAGAAGAAATCACGCAGGCCTTGTTCTCCACAAAACCTTTGGGACGAAAGCATCTAACTCAGCTCAAACTGAGAGTTCTTTGACTTAAAAGATGGACACAGTTGAAAGCAGTTTTCTTCCAGGCACGTCACAGTGCTAGCAAACTCTACCGACCGGGTGGCATTGATGTCAGTCTCGGCGAGCTAAAAGTTCACTAACTCCAGACGAGGTCAACAACCCTGTTTGGTTGTTGGGTGCTTTTCACAATGCGTGACACCATTCAGCCGGCGCCTCTACTCCAGTTCCATCCAGTACAGAGGAGAGACTCGTGGGTCTCAGATGCGAGGACAGTGACAACTGCTGCAAACTAAAAGCTGGTTTGGTAATCCGCCGTAGAATTCATGCCCATAAAAGCGTTGGCCCATGTGTGGTTCCCCCATTGTCCTGCAATGATTGCTGTGGCCTGTTTCTGACGAAGAGCACCTCACTCAGCATAACGCAGCTGACCTTGGCCAAGTAAAGACTTCTAGAGCCTGCTGGATGAAACGGAAATCAGTCACTCTTGCCTCTGGCTAACAATTTACATCCAGCTCGTGACACGCAAACCGCGCTGTTCATGAGACCGGAAAACATTTTCCTGCTCGACTGGCTATCAGTATCAAAACCAGGTTAAGTGAGTAAGTACGGTTAAGTGGCAAGGTTAATTGGTAAGTACATCTGGAGGAATCTTCACCTATTGGTCAAGACCAAACCACATTCGTTCGACTCTGTGGTCCACACCACATGGTTCAGACAACCCGTATCATTTCGTCTGCTAATGTTAACCTGTCTCTCCCCAGAGAGTTACACTCTGGCAACATTACACCAGAGCAATTCCTGTAGCTTCCCGACTTCGACAGATCCAAGACAGGTTCATAGACTTGTAAACCTGTCTGTCAACGTCTTAATTAGCAAGTTCATAATGTGTCGCTCAACCGATAGCAGTCACCTAGCCAACTACGCTGCCATACGGACCTTGGACTACCAGAGGCGGAAAGATGCAGCATCTGATTTGTTCGATAGATCGTGGAAGGAGCTATACAAAAGAGACTGCTGCGTGCAGTTGAACGCCAAAAGTACTGAAAACAGGTGCCGTCTGTAACAAAGCACGTCGATTATAGCCCGGTCGATGCAGTCACAGGAGAAGTTGGTGGGACAATCTGCTTAACCGGCAGTCTATCCTTAAGTCTAGACAAAACCATGCCCAGAATGCGTCACTGGTTCAATACCAACACTCATGCTGCGTATTTCAACTTGCCGTTATTATCTGGGGCTTACCTACTGTGGATGGTTTGCCTTCGCTCATGGCTGGGTCGGGTGTGTGCAAAAAGAAACTTGAACCAACTGAGGTCGAGTTGGGAAGAGCTGGTACGACGATCAACGTCTGAAAGACGATGATATATGGGGAGAGATAACGTCGGCAGCCGTGATCTCACCTACGAACTCACAACTGCTGTTGGTTCGACAGACACCGCGACATATTGGGGCGTCCCCTTTGCTCCTAGGGAGTAGTTTCCCGGTTTTCTCAAAAGTTTCTCACAACTACAGATTTGTCCTCTGCCCATGGAGTTTGATTAAACGTGCAAGCGTCCTAACATTTGAAGTGTTGCCATATACCTTTACCGATAACAGTGGATTCAAGTCACTCACTCAGGATAAGTTTTGCGTGAACATTAATACGTTTTTGTCACTAATCCACAAGTCAAATTTTTAAGCACGAGGAGATGCACACATGGGGGGTGGAGTGGGATTAGAAGAGGATAGAGACTACTTGGTACTCTGTGAATAAACGCCATTATGCCACATTCGACTGTATGTAATCAGCTGTGTGAAACACCAATATAGATCCGCCCAGTTTAAACGACTAATATGCCTAGTAAATTTAGGGAGGAATCATTTTGTGTACTATACTCATTCTCACACTGATTGGATTTTGGTGGAAACCCCTAATGAATCCCATTTGAAACTCCTGCACCTCGAGGAGGTCCCAGCAAATGAGTGTAGCTCGTGGACGTCGTATAGTTCGGGTGCAAGTAGGACATAAGTTTTATATCTGCTGATTCGTCAATCTGCGGTATCTGCTGCTGACCCGCTCCAATGCCTAGTTGTCGAAACAAAAGACTCACAGAAAGGAACGCAACCACTATATTCCGAACAAGCGAGTGCGAGAGCGTGAGTGCGTGCGAGTGCGAAAAGTACAACGTTCTCAAGCTATTTATTGGAAGGACACTGTCTGAACTTGGTCCAATGCTGACGCACACGGTCTGGCTGCGACATGCTGCATATCGCGGGGGCGTTGTCTGACCTTGACCAACGCTGACTCGCGCTGTCTGGGTTTGATACAAGGCTGTGACGCGCTGCATGTTGAGGGGTGTTGTCTGCCTGGTCAACATCTAGCGGAGCTGAGAGTCTCGGTAGATTTGTTGCTCTCAGGAGGCTAACCCTCCCGATAATAAGGCTGACGGAAACTCGGAGGCTGCACCCATCTGATGCGCAGGAACAGGAAAAAGGAGTAGCTCTCAGTGATCTTTTGAATAGCCTTCCTCCAGGAAATTCTTTTTTATCTCTTTTATTGAGGAAGGCCACATGTGAATACTTTTCAAGAAAGGGGAGGGCAGCCAATTTGAAGAAGCACATGTGGTATGTCGGAGCAGCATCTTCAAAGCAGAAGAACGAGATGTTAACCACTGAGCCAGCGGAGTCCTATCTAAACTTTGATAAACCAGTTTCTTTTAGATGACATGAATGTAGCAGGTACTTTCTACGTGCTAGAAATAACGGACTGCCCCAAAGGAATCTTGACAGTATGGTTACCTGGTAAACTCNTGGTATGTCGGAGCAGCATCTTCAAAGCGGAAGAGCGAGATGTTAACCACTGAGCCAGCGGAGTCCTATCTAAACTTTGATAAACCAGTTTCTTTTAGATGACATGAATGTAGCAGGTACTTTCTACGTGCTAGAAATAACGGACTGCCCCAAAGGAATCTTGACAGTATGGTTACCTGGTAAACTCCCACAAGTGTTCAAACAGCCATGGAAGGTAGTGGTGGTATTCGAGACGCACATACGCTGCTACCATCTACAAGTATCAGGAGGCAGCAACATATTGTCTGGGCACTGGGTACCAGTTGCCGCACATAACTGGCCAGCAGTGTTTTTCTGTCATTTTTAGCCCCACATCCATGAGCATAGTCACCAGTCGGAATCAGGAAGCTGACCACTTGATCGTCTTGCGGCGTTATTCAATTGGATTACATCGTTTATTATGCAGTGGCAAATCAAGCATTTAGCGTCAAGCATACCTTGTGCTTTCCGGAGAACTATGAACAAGCTGGTTAGGTTACTCTTCACAACCTCCAGTTCTTTTACGTTTGTGCGCATCAAGTTTGACAAGTATGATTGTTTCAGTTCTCTCTCTTGATCAAGGATCTCTCCCAGTGAATGTCATCAGAACAATGTTCACACAAAATGTCAGACGTTAACGCAACATCACTGTGCTGTCAGCAAATGACGAAATCGGTTTGTGTGAAAGCAACACGAACGTGTTGTCACTTGCACAAGTGCAAAGGCGTCAATCAAAAAGTGCGCTCATTAAGTTTTCGGGAAGTGTAAGCGGAGTAGCGACACTACGTCAAACTACCTCCACTGTTTACTGAAATCGCCGGATAACAAGTTTATCACATAGTCAATTCAAATCACTGTTACCATGAAACACAAATACGTTACAATAATTAATCGCATCACTAACCGTGCCGGAAGACTAAAATAGTATCCGAGGTTTCAAATTATCTGACTGTAGCTGATTCGAACGCGGTCCTGGGCA